TGCTGTGGCTGCTTGGCCCCATAACCCTCCGGCGGGTCAACGCCGTGCCGCAATACGTGAAAAAAGAAAACCGCCACGGGAACTGTTGGGATTGAGTGGTGACTTGGAGCCGATTCAAGCGGCAGTGCGTTCCCTTTGGTGACCCCGGCCAGGAGCACAGCGCGACAATAGTCGGCCAGCTTGGCATGACTTCATCCCTGGCTGCAGTCGGCGGCGGCGCACCGTGTCCTACTTGACACTAATCGGTTTGTCCGCTCTTTATTGGGGGGTTTTGTCCCCTGAGAAGCGGACAACCTGTGCTGCATACCCCCGTCCTCTCCCCGCATACACCTGCACCGGCAGCTGGATGGAACAATCGCGCGCACCCCCCCTTGCCCCGGCCAAGCTGCTGAGATTCCCATAGTCTGCAGCGCGGCGGAGGGGGCTGGGGGGGGGGGGGGGGTGCTGGGAACCAGACCTGCTGTTACTATTCTCACTGAGGGGACTGGAGGAGGGGGGAGCGGGCAGGAATTCAATGCACAGGCAGCAGGGGGGGACAAACCGCCCCGTCCCCTCCTGTGTCAGGCCTATTGTGAGCGCCGCGCTCAGCCTGGCCAAAACATGTGGCAACTCTCCCATACGCTCCCAGCCGGAACAACAGCAATGGGCTGCCATGCGGCATTAACCACTTCCCTGCCGCCAAGGAGACTCCGCCAACGCCTTCACACTCCTGCAGCTTACAGGACACATTGCACATTCATACATTGTTACACATTTCTGCATTATTTTGAAACAAAGTAACGGAGAGATTGAGGAGAATTGCAGGCCGGGCAGATTTTGGTTCCCTTGGCATTAATGCGCGTTACGTCACATGATAAAGCGAGTGTGCTTAGGGCGGCCCCAGGGGGGGGACTGACAACTCATGGGGCCCCCTGGGCAATAGGGGATCATGGGGGCCCCTGCGTCCTCACCCACACTCAAACCCAGGGGCGGACTGACAACTCATGGGGCCCCCGGGCAATAGGGGATCATGGGGGCCCCTGTGTCCTCACCCAAACTCAAACCCAGGGGCGGACTGACAACTTGTGGGGCCCCCGGGCAATAGGGGATCATGGGGGCCCCTGTGTCCTCACCCACACTCAAACCCAGGGGGGACTGACAACTCATGGGGGCCCCCGGGCAATAGGGGATGGGGCCCCTGTGTTCTTGCCCAAACTCAAAAAACCTATGAAAAAGGTACCAGGGGCCTCATGGGTCCCCCTACTGACCCAGTGCCCGAGTTTCCAAATGGTCAGACTGCCCCTGCTCACCACACAACCCAAAAAAGCTCCCGGGAAATAAGGGATCATGGGGCCTCTGTTTCCTGAACCACACTCAAAAAAGCCTATGAAAAAGGTACCAGGGGCATCTCATGGGGGCCCCAGGCAATAGGGGGCCCCAGGCTGTGTCCGAGTTTCCACACTCAAACCACACCTCAAAAAAGCCTATGAAAAAAGCCTATGAAAAAGGTACCAGGGGCATCTCATGGGGCTCCCAGGAGATAGGGGATCATGGGGCCCCTGTTTCCTGAACCACACTAAAACCACACTCAAAAAGCCTATGAAAGGTACCAGGGGCATCTCATGGGGCCCCCAGGCAATAGAGGATCATGGGGCCCCTGTGTCCCCAACCACACTCAAACCACACCCAAAAAAGGCCTATGAAAGTTACTAGGGGCATCTCATGCGGCCCCCTACTGACCCCAGGCCCTCGGGCGGTGCCTGAGTGCCCAAATGGTCAGTTCGCCCCTGGGCGGCCCGTTCAAAATGAATAGGCTGCCAAGGCACCCGACGACGACCAATGTTTTTTGCAATGCAATGCGCCGGAGCACTGCTCATTGCCTGTATGCAGGGGCCTCCAAAATACGGCCCAGGGGCCACATCTGGCCCACGATAAGATTTTACCTGGTCCAAGGCAATTATGATGCAATGGGGGGGGGGGCTTCTTATGTAAAACAGGGACTCTGATGAAAGGGGAGGAGGGCTCTGATGTGAAAGGGGCTCTGATGTGTAAAGGGGGCTTTGATGTAATGGGGGCTTCTGATTCTGATATGAAAGGGGGGACTCTGATTTGAAGGGGAGTCCTGATGTGAAGGGGGGGGGCTCTGATGTGTAGGGGTGGGACTTTAATGTAAGGGGGGCTTCTGATCTGAAGGGGGGAGGGGTTCTGATCTGAAGTGATGGGGTGCTTCTGATGTAATGGGGAGGGCTTCTGATGTAAAAGGGGAGTTCTGATTTCCAGGAGTTCTGATGTGAAGGGGGGGGGGGCTCAGATGTATGAGAGGGGGGCCTGATGTAATGGGAGCTTCTGATTCTGATGTGAAGGAGGGGGGGCTCTGATTTGAAGGGGAGTCCTGATGTGATGGGGGTTTCTGATTCTGGATGTGGGGGGGGGGCTCTGATATTTAGAAGAGGGCTTTGATGTAATGAGGGGTTCTGATTCTGATGTGAAGGGGGAGGGGTTCTGATTTGAGGTGATTGATGTGCTTCTGATGAGGGGGACTGTGATTTGAAGGAGGGACTTTGAATTGAAGGGGAATTCTGATGGGGGGGGGGCTTCTGATTCTGATGTGAAGGGGGGGGCTCTGATGTAATAGTGAGACCCCTGAAATGATGAAGTGGGGGGGTACTCTGTTGTGATGGTGGAACCTCTGATGTGATGGGGGGCTTTTTATGTGAAGGAGGGGGCTCTGGCGCTCTCTCGGATCTCTGGAGGATTCCCGATGTTTCGGAGTCCCAGGACGGCGATGTGCGAGTCGCATGAATATTCATTGCAGCGCTGCTTACAGAGCGGCCCAATAACATGCCGAGCCGTCAGCCGCACGACGGGGTTGTCAGACCGATATCTGCAGACTTGGGATGAAATCTGACTTCAGAAGCGGTGCGGGGGGGGGGGGGGCACTGCCTCCTGCACAGGAACCATTCATTCCTAAAGGCCCCCCCCATGCATCGGGCGCTGTTGTGGCTACCAAAACGCATGACACCGCAGTACCGTGTAGTCTGGTGCGATTCTGAAAATTTTCACAAGTTCCTGCATGTTTGCCAGCCCATTGAAATGATTGGGCTGCTCTACCCCCATTTTCCCCAGTGATCACTCATACTATACATTGTAACATCATTGTACACTTACCCTCCCCCCTCTCTCCCACAGTGATCACTCATACTATACACTGTAGCGTTGTACACTCATAACCTTCCCCGTCCCCCAGTGATCACTCATACTATACATTGTAACATTGTACACTCACCTTCCCCCCAGCGATCACTTCTGCTATACATTGTAACATTGTACACTTACCCTCCCTCCTCTCCACCAATGATTGCTCATACTATACATTGTAACATTGTACACTCACCCTCCTCCCCTCCCCAAGTGATCGCTCAAACTATGCATTGTAACATTGTACACTCACCCTCCTCCCCTCCCCAAGTGATCGCTCATACTATCCATTGTAACATTTTTACTCCCCCTCCCCCCCTCTCCCACAGTGTTCACTAATATAATACATTGTAACATTGTACACTCCCCCCCCTCAGTGATCACTCATACTATTCATTATAACAGTGTACACTCCCCCCCCTCCCCCCAGTGTTCACTCATACTATAGACTGTAACATTATACACCCCCCCTGCCCCCCCCAGTGATTGCTCACACACTATACACTGTAATATTGTACACTCCCCCCCCTCCCCCCAGTGATCGCTCACACTATACATTGTAACATTGTACACTCATCTCCCAAGTGATCAGTCATACTATACATTATAACTTTGTAGCAAGTCACATGAGAGGCTGCAGCAGGGGCTGATCTGTGTCAGACATTTGTGAACGCAGCCAAGGATTGACAAGATTGCGCCATCCCTGACCAGGGCATAGATGGGGCCCCTGGATGATGCCTGAACAAAGATGGCAGCCATCCCTGACCAGGACGTAGATGGGGGCCTCTGGATGATGCCTGAACAAAGATGGAGCCATCCTTCTGCAGAGAAAAGCAGGTGAAGGTCCTGTGATCACTGTGAGAGGTAATACATGGTGACAGTGGGGGAGATTTACTAAGACCGGAGCACTCTGAATCTGGCAGCCAATCAGCTTCGAGCACCAGTTTGTTCACATAAGCTTTGACAATAAAATCTGGAAGCTGATTGGTGCAGTTTTAGTAAATCCCCCCCCCCCCACTGACACATTACTGGGCAGACATGGACTTTCCATGGTGACAGGTCCTCTTTAATGGACATTGAAGGGTGCAGCAGCCAGGCACAGGGGCGCAGAGGATTAACCCCCGCACCGCCGCAGCTCCGGGAAGGCAGCTTGCCATGGCCGCTGTCCCGGGACGATCAGCGTCAGACATCGGCCGTTCCTGGAGGGAGCGTATTATGCAGGATGTGTCAGATGACTCGCGGCGCTAATCCCGCAGACGTCCCCCCTCCTCCGCTCCTATCGCTCCCATCGTGGCTGCGGCGCGGCCTCCGCTGATCGCATTGGACAGCGCTCATCAACTCCTGCCAGCTTGGCTCAACGATGCCGCCGTTACAGAGCCTGCGTTCCGGGGGCATGAAACGAGCGCCGTTCCCCCCTCCCCCTCCTCGCGCTGCGTACATATACTTATGCGGACGCACGGCTAATTAAACATCATGAAGGAGGTGAAATACACACGGCGAGCTGGAACCCGGCCCTGATCTCTGCGGACTGTCGCAGTCACTTCTAATGCGTTCCTCGAAGATCTTCCCGGAACCAAAGTCCAGGTGGATGAACTGCGCCGATATAGCCGCCATCCAATCATTGCGAGAGGGTTTTCTTTTTTTTTTCTAGAAGCAGTTTGGCTCATGTGTGTGTTGGCAATCGGTGTCATCAGACGGGCGCGGCGGCCAAAAAAATGACACAAAGAAGTTATAGGCAAGGTCAGAGAGATGGTTGTGTCCTTAAAGCAGAACGCCATATTCCCCTTCAGTCTTCCACAGCTGTACCGGCTCCTCCCCTTCAGTCTTGCACACGTGTACCGGCTCCTCCCCTTCAGTCTTGTACAGGTGTACCGGCTCCTCCCCTTCAGTCTTCCACAGCTGTACCGGCTCCTCCCCTTCAGTCTTGCACACGTGTACCGGCTCCTCCCCTTCAGTCTTGTACAGGTGTACCGGCTCCTCCCCTTCAGTCTTCCACAGCTGTACCGGCTCCTCCCCTTCAGTCTTCCACAGCTGTACCGGCTCCTCCCCTTCAGTCTTGCACACGTGTACCGGCTCCTCCCCTTCAGTCTTGTACAGGTGTACCGGCTCCTCCTCTTCAGTCTTCCACAGCTGTACCGGCTCCTCCCCTTCAGTATGGCACAGGTGTACCAGCTCCTCCCCTTCAGTCTTCCACAGCTGTACCGGCTCCTCCCCTTCAGTACTGCACAGGTGTATCGGCTCCTCCCCTCTAGTCTTGCACACGTGTACCGGCTCCTCCCCTTCAGTCTTGCACAGGTGTAGCGGCTCCTCCCCTTCAGTCTTGCACAGGTGTAGCGGCTCCTCCCCTTCTGTCTTCCACAGCTGTACCTGCTCCTCCCCTTAAGTCTTGCACAGGTGTACCGGCTCCTCCCCTTCAGTCTTGCACAGGTGTAGCGGCTCCTCCCCTTCAGTCTTGCACAGGTGTACCGGCCCCTCTCCAGTCTTGCACAGGTGTACCGGCTCCTCCCCTTCAGTTTTGAACAGGTGTAGCAGCTCCTCCTCTTTCAGTCTTGCACAGGTGTACCAGCTCCTCCCCTTCAGTCTTGCACAGGTGTACCGGCTCCTCCCTTTCAGTCTTGCACAGGTGTACTGGCTCCTCCCCTTCAGTCTTGTACAGGTGTAGTGGCTCCTCCCCTTCAGTCTTGCACAGGTGTAGCGGCTCCTCTCCTGAAGACATTTTTTTATGTCCTTTTCCATCTTTATAAAGTTCCATTACCTTGTTACACAGGTGTTTTGGCAGTTCTTTTCTGCTCCCCATGGCTCAGTATTAGTGCATCCACAAACTCATTGACTATTTATACACAGACACAGATGTGGGAAATTACCCTTTAATTGCCATGGTGCCCTGTGTGTGTCCCCTTGTGTATCTGTACCAAGGCTGAACACTCCAGGGGGCGGAGATTTCTGATCAAGGGGCGGAGACTTCTGATCCGGGCCATTTGGGGGATTTCTGTTATCATTAGGATTTAAAAAGGAGCCAAACGATGATGTGATCATAAATGGCTTCATATCATCACCATCCTTCATTAAAAAAATGACACGATCAATCAGATTTTCATCATCAATGCCAAAATGTCACCATTTCTGCCCCGGGGGAGGCAAAATGTGGAGTACAGCTGTATATACAGCATATAGAAACACTATATTGGCCCCGCCCTTTCCACACACATGACCTTTAATGGCCCCCCAGTCTTAGTCCGTAGGGTTCAATATTGAGTTGGCCCCGCCCTTTCCACGCACATGACCTTTAATGGCCCCCCAGTCTTAGTCCGTAGGGTTCAATATTGAGTTGGCCCCGCCCGTTGCAGCTATAACAGCTTCAACTCTTCTGGGAAGGCCCCCCACAAGGTTTAGGAGGGTGTCTATGGGAAGGTTGGACCATTCTTCCAGAAGCACATTTGTCAGGTCAGGCACTGATGTCGGGGGAGGAGGCCTGGCTCACAGTCTCCGCTCTAATTCATCCCAAAGGTGTTCTATGGGGTTGAGGTCAGGACTCTGTGCAGGACAGTCAAGTTCCTCCACCCCAAACTGGCTCCTCCATGTCTTTATGGACCTTGCTTTGTGCACTGGTGGGCAGTCATGTTGGAACAGGAAGGGGCCATCCCCAAACTCTTCCCACAAAGTTGGGAGCATGAAATTGTCCAAAATGTTACCTTAAGAGTTCCCTTCACTGGAACTAGAGGGCCAAGCCCAACCCCTGAAAAACAACCCCACACCATAATCCCCCCTCCACCAAACTTTACACTTGGCACAATGCAGTCAGGCAAGTACTGTTCTCCTGGAAACCACCAAACCCAGACATGTCCATCAGATTGCCAGACAGAGAAGCGTGATTGGTCACTCCAGGGAACACACCTCCATGCTCTAGAGTCCAGTGGCGGCGTGCTTTACACCACGGCATCCGACGCTTTGCATTGCACTTGGTGATGGAAGGCTTGGATGCAGCTGCTCGGCCATGGAAACCCATTCCATGAAGCTCTCTACGCACTGTTGTTGGGCTCATCTGAAGGCCACACCAAGTTTGGAGGTCTTTAGCTATTGGCTCTGCAGACAGTTGGTGACTTCTGCGCACTGTGCGCTTCAGCATGCGCTGACCCCGCCCTGTCATGTGACGTGGCCTACCACTTGGTGGCTGAGTGGCTGTTGTTCCCAGTTGCTTCCACTTTGTTATAATCCCACTAACAGTTGTCCGTGGAATATTTAGTAGCCAGGAAATGTCACGGATGGACTTATTGCCCAGGTGGCCACCTATCACAGGACCACGCTTGGAGTCACTGAGCTCCTGAGAGCGACCCATTCTTTCACCAATGTTGTTTGTAGAAGCCGTCTGCATGCCTAGGGGCTTGATTGTATACACCTGTGTGCATGGAGGGGATTGGAACACCTGAATCACATGATATGAAGGGGATTGGAACACCTGAATCACATGATATGGAGGGGATAGGGACACCTGAATCACATGATATGGAGGGGATAGGGACACCTGAATCACATGATATGGAGGGGATTGGAACATCTGAATCACATGATATGGAGGGGATTGGAACACCTGTGTCCATGGAGGGGATTGGAACACCTGAATCACATGATTGGGAGGGCGGGGACAATACTTTTGGCAATATTGTGTATATAGATACTTTTTTTCCCCTCAAACATTTCTTTTTTCAACAATTTATAAAAAAAAAACCCTGAAATTTCACATACTAATAAATGGTCCTCAAAATCTGCACCAATAAATGACAGAATAGGCATACTGCTAGCCAGACGGAGTACCTCACCCAGACGTCACCTGACCTACCTGAAGACATCATTCAGGCCTTCCAGTCTATGGAGGTGACAGGTCCTCTTTAGCTCCCATTTCCTGGGAAATCCCGTCCCTTGTTTGCAATGTAGATAATGAGAAGTTCCACAATGATGACAATAGGAGGAGATGTTTGCACAGACAGAGGTCCGCCATTCCACTTGGGTCACCAACAATGGAAATCTCTCCTGGATCTCCTTCATCCCATCCCGACTGTGAGCAGAAGATAAGATTGTCCATCTATGTAGGGATCAGATGATGGCGCTGACCGGCTTCATTATAGGTAAAGAGGTCATTCCACTCCAAAGTGATTGATCACTGGTGACCACCAATGGGCAATCAGATTGAAAGCCCCCAAAACTGCTCCCCCACCCTCAGTGGTTCCTGGGCTCCCCTATCCTAGGGGGGTGCAGTTCTGGATCCTTGCCCTAGGTCTACCAAAACTATGTTGTAGGAGATCTACCTGACTATCCCTTGCATCTGTATCCGGTCAGGTAAGGTTCTCGTTCTACGTCATTGTTGGCAAATCCAAAAGGCATCGTACAATCAGATTGAAAGCTGCATGGCCAGCTTAACCGCTCGTCTACCAAGGAACGTTTATAAACGACGTGGTAGACAAGGGCTTAAAGCAAGTTCATAGATGCTGTTGGAGTCATGAGCTTGGTATTGGCTGGTGAACGGCTTTCCGATAAAAGTGATCAGATGGCTACAGAGCCACCTGGTCACTTTCATGAGGCTCTCAAAGTGCTCTCCCCCGAACCGCTCCCCCACCAGCAGTGGTTCCTGGGCTCCCCTATCCTAGGGGGTGCAATTCTGGATCCTTGCCCTAGGTCTACCAAAACTATGTTGTAGGAGATCTACCTGACTATCCCTTGCATCTGTATCCGGTCAGGTAAGGTTCTCGTTCTACGTTATGGTTGGCAAATCCAAAAGGCATCGTACAATCAGATTGAAAGCTGCATGGCCAGCTTAACCGCTCGTCTACCAAGGAACGTTTATAAACGACGTGGTAGACAAGGGCTTAAATCAAGTTCACAGATGCTGTTGGAGTTGTGAGCTTGGCATCGGCTGGTCAGGGCTTTCCGATAAAAGTGATCAGGTGGCTCCAGAGCCACCTGGTCACTTTTATGAGGCTCTCGCGGTGCGCTCCCCCGAACTGCTCCCCCACCCGCAGTGGTTCCTGGGCTCCCCTATCCTAGGGGGGTGCAGTTCTGGATCCTTGCCCTAGGTCTACCAACGTTGTAGGAGATCTACCTGACTATCCCTTGCATCTGTATCCGGTCAGGTAAGGTTCTCGTTCTACGTTATGGGTGGCAAATCCAAAAGGCATCGTACAATCAGATTGAAAGCTGCATGGCCAGCTTAACCGCTCGTCTACCAAGGAACGTTTATAAACGACGTGGTAGACAAGGGCTTAAAGCAAGTTCACAGAGGCTGTTGGAGTCATGAGCTTGGTATTGGCTGGTGAACGACTTTCCGATAAAAGTGATCAGGTGGCTACAGAGCCACCTGGTCACTTTCATGAGGCTCTCAAAGTGCGCTCCCCCGAACCGCTCCCCCACCCGCAGTGGTTCCTGGGCTCCCCTATCCTAGGGGGATGAAATTCTGGATCCTTGCTCTGGGCACTGGAGGACTCTGTCCCGCTACCAGGGGTGGACTGACAACTCATGGGGCCCCCGGGCAATAGGGGATCATGGAGCCCCTGTATCCTTGCCCAAACTCAAAAAAGTCTATGAAAAAGGAACAAGGGTATCTCATGGGGCCCCCTACTGACCCCAAGTACTTGGGCAGTGCTCGAGTTTCCAAATGGTCAGTCCGCCCCTGGGCGCTACTGTCTGCATGAACCACTTTTGACACCAAGAGAAAAATGGTGACAGGGGAGGGAGCTCCAGCACACAGCCTGTGATTGCTCTGTTCTTGTGCGCTGTATGAATTGTGTGCCTGCGTTGTCACTCCATTATAAGGGCTTTGGATGGAGCCTACAAGTGGCTATTTCATGACGTAATCAGGGCCCACCGTTGTCACCATCAGGAATCACATTGTAGGGAGTGTGGGCAGCTTTACAACACCATTACAATGTAACAAAAACGTGTTACTTTTTCAAAGACAGCACCCTCAGGGAAGATCAGATGGCACTTCAGAAGCTACTGACAGGCAGTGATGAGGAAATGCGACGCCTCCTCGCCGCCGCCGCCTCCTCCTCCTCGCCGCCTGTTTTAACCCTCGTTTTGCTGACAAACGCGCCGCAACTACGTGTATTGTATGTTTCATCCTCCAGGAACTGCCGCAATACTCTCACTACATTAGGCCGGGTAATGTCTGCACCAGTAAGAACCCAGAGGACCCACTGCACCAGAGGAACCCAGGACCCACCGCACCCAGGAGGAACCCAGGACCCACCGCACCAGGAGGAACAAGGACCCACCGCACCATGAGGAACCCAGGACCCACGCACCAAGGAAGCCCACCAGGAGGAACCCAGGACCCACTGCACCAGGAGGAACCCAGGACCCACTGCACCAGGGAAAGGAACCCAGGACCCACCGCACCAGGAGGAACCCAGGACCCACCGCACCAGGAGGAACCCAGGACCCACCGCACCAGGAGGAACCC